GGGGGGGGGGGGGGGGGGGGGGGGGGGGGGGGGCAGATTGACCTCCGACCCCCGAGCTTTAGAGCTGGCTCTCCCACTGCGACGACTTCTCACGGGGGTGCAAACGGCTCACACGCAGCCACCCCTGACACGCGTGATGAACGGCACCGCCGTGTTGATAGGGATTCCTCGTTGCCCCGGGCTACGGGGATCCGGCACGCCCCAGAGTGCTGTCGACGGGAGGGTTGTGGCCTCTTCTGACAATTTAACAAGGACAGGGAGATCTCAGATCTCAGAGCAACCAGCAGTTGAAAAGAACACTTTTTTTTCCAATGTCGATCAAGAGGACTTTGGGGGATTTTCACACCTGTGTTAACAGATAACATCCACGTTAGCTCTGTTCCAGGACATTTTTCAGTGTTCAGAATTTGTGAGCGAATTTACTAATAAATAATACATCTTCTGCGAGTCAATCCCAGACAACAAAGAATGTTTGTCTCAAATGTGAAGTGTCGACAGCCCATAAATGACCCAGTTTGGGTCCAAAGCGTGTCTCGTCTCTGGAAGTGAGGAGGGTGTGTTTTCTCTACATTGACTGGCTGGGTTTCCACTCATCTGATTGGTTAGGGTCATCAGGAAAATGTCAACGGAAAAAGAAGAAAATGACATTCGCACGCTGTTCTGAGGTGGATTTTTAGCGGCATGGAAACAATTTAATAGATTTAAAGATCGCGGATCAATGTCCTCTCAGTTGTGACTGACAGGAATATCCCAGATATTCCCAGAGATTAAACTATAGGACATTTAGTCCATTTTTTTTCCAGCAGATCCAGACTTTTCAGAGGATATCTTCAGGTGTATTTTGCTGATGAGTAGAAATCTGACAAGTGACTGAGGGAAACTGACCAAACTGAGGAAAATGGCTGTCACTCTATCGCACAAATCTCATTCTCCATGATGACAATCTGCAGAGATTTTGACTAATTTTCTTATCTTTCATTCAAAGCAACAATCCAGTAATCCTTTGAGATGGATACTGTATACATTTGCTCAAATTTTCCTTTATATTCCGAATGCTAATCACAAAAAAATACTCACTAACGGACAAAGAAACGACTAGACTTGAAGGTGGTTATCCTTTCCCTGCTGTAACCCCCACCCACCTCAACCCCCCAGCATCTTGCACCCTATTTCAGTTCAAATTAACAGCGGACTTTGCGCCTGGCTCTGGATAAAGGTGAATTATAGACCTATCATTTCCACTAAAAACAGCTGTCAGTGATTCATACCTCATAAAAACAAACAACACCACCATTACTGTTTTATTTTCAATTTGTGTTGTCTTTCCCAAAAAATTAAATGTAAGTCTTGTGTCTTTGTGAGCCAAGAAATCAATTTTCAAATGACGTAACACAATGACAAAAGCTAAGTATAGAAAAAAAAAAATGTTTGTTTGCTGATAAACTGGGATGAAAAAAGGTCACCGAACTGCTTATGCAACAAATCATCCACACTTTGGTCTAATATCCAACCAATATGCGTCTCATTTGGGGTTTTGAAGTGATTATTTGACTGCGAACGCACAGAAAACACGAATTAATGCCCGAGTGGGAGGGGGGAAAAAACTGCTTTTTTTCCCCCCCCTCCGTTGCTGTGTCCTCCGGTCGGAGTTTGCGATTAGAGATGGCGTTCTTGTCACGGTCAGGCGGCTGACCTGTCGGGGCCGGTGGCTGCACTGACGCATGCGGAGCGACGGGCCGAGAGCAGAAGGGAAAAGACAGACAGTGACGGACCGGCGGCCTACCGGCTGAAAGTTAAACTAAAGAGGAGTGGCGGGAGGAGGAGGTGGAGGAGGAGGAGGTGGGAGGGGGAGGCAGATCCTCCAACCAAAGCTTCATGGAGCTTGCTTGTCACGGGGGATCAGTCCCAGGCATCAACCCCCCCCCCCCACCCTCCTCCACCCACACACGCCCTCCCCCTCCCCTCGCAAAAACCTCAGTCCCATTCTAAATAATTCACTCTGCAGCCATTCCCTTCCACCTGAGGGGCTTGTCTCCTGGCGTCACCAGCGGGACGATTTAACAGCTCTGGAAAGGTCATGTTTTTTTTTGTTTTTTTTCCATCCTCCAGCCTCCCACCAGCAAGAAATCCTCACAGGGATGCAACCGCGCAAACACACACACACACACACACACACATACACATATATACTCGTGGAAAATAATCCCTGTGAGCGGTTGGAATTGGCGTGGTGCCCCCGAATGGGCCCGGGCGATCCCAAAAAAATACGCCGTTTTTCTGGATCTGGGCAAGTTAGGATGCTCGCCTTGAGGGCACCTTCCACAAGGGCATCAGGCCTCGCACAGGCATACGCACACACACACACACACACACACACAGCCTGAGAGCACACACTTGCACACACTCGCCCTAAAGCGCTTTCCCAGGTTCCTACTGGGCGCTTTTCACCAAACACCAAAATAATTGATTTTTATTCAGGGATTAATGGAGTGTTCAGCAGTGTGAGCTTGGGCTGTGACCCTCTGCCTCCCAGTCATCTCTGATCTCTGACGTCACCTGAATGCAACATAATCTTCACGGAGAGCTTTACGGCGCTCATCAGGAGACTTTTCATGCATTTTTGCTTGATTTTTTGCTAAAAAGGGGTGGGTATTCTCTTTGTTGTACTTTTCCATCGCCCCTGTAATGATTTAATGTCAGAGCTGGGTTAAAAAAACACACAAAAAAAAGGGAATAAAGCTCCTCAGGTATCTGTTTCTCCACTTGGGATGCTGACCGCTGACATCTCTTAAGGGATCGCCGGCAGCCACGTCTGGAGATCCTCGCTGACTCGTCATGTTTGAAGTCCAACGCTGATTGGAACATCCACCTCACCTCCACCTCACCAGGAATCCCACTCGACACGCGGCATAACGCCGGCAGATTGTTACGAACGGAGAGTCCCGGCACCAAATTCAGCCAGAAAACGGCAGCTCTGGGTTATCCTCGGCCATCCTTTTAACATTCTGACCCATCTGAAACACCGGTTTGGGTGTTAAACTGATTCAATTCAATTCAATTTTATTTATATAGCGCCACATCACAACAACAGTTGTCTCACAGCGCTTTCCAAAAAGAGCAGGTCAGACCCTACTCTGAAGTTAACTACAGAAACCCAACAATTCCCACCATGAGCAAGCACTAGGCGACACAGGCAAGGAAAAACTTCCTGATCTGATCTCTCGCTGTGTTTTGCAAGAGGAACAACAAGCATTTTATCCTGATATGAGATCTGATCGATGAAAGTAAAAGAGAGCTCCTCTTCAGACGTTTTTTCACTTGTGCACTTTCCTTTTTTTAACACCTAATGAAACATCATTTTCACACCATGGCCCCCACGCATTAGATTAAGACAAATGAGCGGCTGCTGCTGCTCTTTGGGATATTTGGTCCTGTTTACAAATCCTTTCTTTAAGTGGTTTGGCCCATTCCATCACGGCCCATGGAGCAGCTGACTCATTCAGTTTTGTTCATTCATATATTCTCCTTGACGGGCTTCCCTTTTGACATAAATGGGCTCAGGGGCATGCCTAACACCCCACTCAGTCCGCTCCGATTAGCCGAGCATGTCCGCCGGCACCAACACACACACCATTAATACCCCGCTGACAAACCCGCACAGTGACACGGCCCGGACCGCTTCGCAGCAAAACAAAACCCGCTGGCCGAGATTCACCTTGTCATCGATGAAAGATTCATGGGCGGCGGAAAAGTTCGGCCAAAAGTTGAGTCTTTGATCTGATTGGAGCAAGGACGGGGACGCGGTGTGTCTTATGTGAACAGAGACTCCTACGCTGTCAAACACATTTAAACTACAGCCTTATTATCCGGCAGTCCAAAAGCAGCCGTGCAGCATACCATTAACCGGAATCAAAAGCCTCGCCAGTTCTCTCGTGATTTGATGAGATCTCAGACACACACCTCTAAGCTGTTTGTCTTTGAACCACTTGGTATTTTCTGTTTCCACTTTGGAGGATGTTAATGAATCAGCTCGACTCAAATTCATCAGCGCCGTGAGTCAGGGAGTAAATAGTTTTTCTGTCTGTTCTCATTAAAAAAAACAAAAAACGTCCATTTAACCCACAGAGAGACTCGACAGCTCCTTCTCTAAATGTGAAGATAAATGGTAAGGATAGATAGATCGTATTTAATTGCAGATAAACTTGGCTCAGCCACCTAAACGATGGAAACTACGTGATGGATAAACATCAGTTTGTGCGTTTTATTTGGTTAAGTTCTGTTGATAAGTTACTCCAATAAGCACAATTTTGATATTTTTTAAAAGTAAATGTAAAATTTTTACATAGTGTTATACATTTTCTACTTTCTGGTTAAGATGTTGGTGATTACTTAAAAAATCATCCCATTTTTGGGTAGATTTTAGCTCTCGGGAGCCATAGTTTCAACTTTTGAAGTTGTCAAGTTTAAATTTCATTGCCCTAGCATGAAATCCACTCTGATTTTTGCTGGATTTGAGTCGTGGGGCGTTTATTTGTTGCTGAGAGTCCAGCAGTTATGCAACAACCAGACGTTTCACAGCTACCTTGGACTGCAAACATCAGCTCTTTGGGGTCCAGCAATGGCGTCCTCTTGTCTTGGCTCTTCTTTCCTCCTTTGCGATGCCCCCTCCGTTTTTTGCTCTCGCCCCAGAGGTTAGAGCCGCCGTGCATGCTGGGAATGTTGAGAATTGCTATGCCCTCCAAGGAGATGCTGCTGAGGTCCAACATCACCCCGTCACACTTTTAGAAAGGGGAGAAAAAAGGGAGAGATTTAGCGAAGTTAAAGTGTTTTGGGTGTGATGTCTCTCACATGAGCTTATATCTATACAGTTGTCTTTACACTCACTATAAAGAGAGTCTCCTATGTGTTTGCATTTAGCTTAAATATTTTTCTATCCGACGGGAATCTGAATCTAATCACTGTTTGTTCATCAGGGCGTTTGGTCTGACAGAAGTCTTGAACCACATTGCTACTGACCCTGGCCACTTTAAAAAAAAAACATTTTCAGTTGAGACTTTGCTGCCGATAACTTTGTTTTTTTTCTATTTTTTTATAAAAAAAAATTTACTTTAGAAAAATGAGCTTGCATCCTTTTATTGAAATCCCCAAGAAATACCTAAGATTATTTCAGTTTGACTGTGTTATAGAGAATAATTCAGATTGATTTCTAAATCTCTGTTAGCTTTTGGGGACCCATGCCTGGTCGTGCTGATGTATCAGCATATTGAGAAAAAATCTGAGGAAACTGTACAAGTGGAGAACAAAAGAAGAAGAGTTGGGCCTTAAAAAGGCCTTGCAGCGTGCTAATTAATGGAGACCTCTACATGGTGTAGATAGCTCTGTGAAGGTGGAAGATGAATTGTATGGACCCCAGCTTCATTATCACTCAATATCACACGGAGCGGGGTCATGTAGGGCTAATTACCTGAGCGTTCGGCTGAATAAGTGGGTCCACAGATATCCTTCACACATCATCACATTGTCTGACTCTCAAACTAGCATAAACGCGCGCTATTAACGGGCCTGGGGATGTTCGGCGATCGTATGACCAGTTTCACGTTGATAAAAAGTGAGATATTCCTGACAAGAGCGAGAACAGGGCCAGATGCTTTCAGAACGTTTGCCTCAGCTCTCGGCGGCTTCTCTCGTACGGTTTGATTTACCTCAACCTCCAGAAAGTCGTGGAGCTTCTTACAAGTGGCCGAGAAGGTCTCCGAAGTGCCGAACTCAAAGTACCACAGCTTATTCTTTGTTCTGAAAAAAAACAAAACAACAGGAACTGCAAAGGGACCAAGAAAAAAGGAGGAAAGGGAGTATTTTCTTCACATCAAAATCTGAGGCTTGTGCGCTCTCTAGTCCCCTTTAAGCTGGGATATAAAGTACAAAATATATATAAAAAATAGATATAAAATATAAAGAAAAAGAGAAGAAATACACAGTCACCTCATAAGGGTGCAATAGCTTGAATCTTCCAGTGCACACAGCAAAGCACAGTCATTAATCTAAAGAACCCTCAATGTGTTTAATTAATCTCATATTGACGCGTAATGATAACGAGGGCACACGCGGAGGCCATTGGTTAAGTATACCCAACATTAAAGCCCAGGGTGGAGCAAAGGAGGGTAATCCACCTGCTCCTCCAATTAACTGAGGACTGGGGCGCTGCTCCCTGGGCCTCCTACAGAACAAACTCCTATTGCTAATGCTGATGATCAATGACCTCACAGGGGTGAGTCACCATCTGTCTGCAGAAAACCGAACTGTGGTCACGGTTCCTCGAATCAACACCGGGACAATTTCAACAGTAATCTGCTCACTTACTGGTTATTAAAGTGAAAATAAGAATGAAAAATGTTACCATTGAAGTAGATGATAAGAAAGTTGTGAGCCAAAAAACAACATACAGTGGGGGAAATAAGTATTTGACCCCTTGCTGCTTTTTTCAGGTTTGCTCACTTACAAAGAATGCTTATTTTTCCTCATCAGATGGTTATCGATTTTTATAAATTCATACGATGTGATTTTCTGGAATTTTCTTTGGGATTCTGTCTTTCACTGTTAGAATGTACATATGATCAAAGTTATAGATCGTTGCATTCTTTGTAAGTGGCCAAACCTGCAAAATCAGAAAGGGGTCAAATACTTATTTCCCCCACTGTACCTAATATATAGTTTTAAATAAAATCATGCTATCTATCTTAACTGAAAACTTAAAAAGAGATGAATGGTTTGAGACATTTTTTTCCTTAACAAACTCAGGACATTAGGCAAAAACTGATCTGAATCAAATGGGTGCATTCAGGGACACCCAGATGTGCAGGAAATGTCAAATGAAGTAAAACTTCCTGCAGATTTTCTTGCAGGTTGATGTGCTCTGGTATCTTTTAAGCTGAATAAGACTTAAGTTGTGGACACAAAGCAGAGAAAGTTGACCAGAGCTCTTGGTCAGGATGTGGGAACGGGCCCGGTTCAGACACAGCTGCTGTTCGCACGTCCGCTTCAGTACACAAAACTCGGCGCGGCGGGCTGAGAGCGGGGGGGGGGGGGGGGGGGGGGGGGGGGCGGAGCCCGGACCACATGAGAGATAATGCAAATGCTGCTGTGAGAAAAAATCCCTACTGCGGTTTACAACACGGTGAAAATGGCACACGAGGCTCCTCCATCCCCAGTTTCTGTGTTGCTATGATTACCAAATGTATTTGGACACATCCATAAATCTGGCAAGTGAGTGGAAAGCGGCCCAGAGGTCAGCGGAAAAGAGGGCTTGGGGAAGATTAACTGGGCTCAAACCCTCTCCTTTTTTTTTTAAACCTCTGCAGGGTCGTTTTTGCTCTCGTCTTACAGAGTTGATCGCCTCCGTTGGTGAAGTCAGATCCGAATGAGACTAATCTGGCAGACGTCCAAACTTTTCACAGAAAAACAGACAAATGGTGAGAAATGAATGATCATTTCAACCACTCCAGTAATCAAACTCCTCATTTTTACCCTGAACAACAACAACTGCTTGGCTGTTTTTACCCTTATATGTAAAGATTACAGACGGGTCCGTTCACAAAACAACAAAGAGAAACACGTCATTTATCACAAAGATAAAAAACGAGAAAAAAAACCCACAACGTCGCTGACACACGGAGCCGAATGCGGTAAAAAATGACCTTCGCCTAGCTGGAATCAAAGCTCTACCAGAGGAACGTATTAGTATAAGCAGAGTAACAATCACTGAATTATTGATTTCCTCATTAGGATTTTTGTCAGGACCATTTAGCCACTTTATAAATGAGCTTTCATTAGAGTACTTGCAAGGTAGCCCCAACTCAGGGTTGATTTATAATGTGCAACATGGTCAATAGCAGAGGGAGGGCAGCGAGTGGAGGCGGGCGACGGGGCCCCGCGCAACACATCCCGACATCATCCCCCCGGCTTCATCACCATCATCATCATCCTCGTCAAAAAAAAAAAACACATCACAGGCACACTGTGCGAGTTTGCAAGTAAACAAATGAGGGTGGCCACTCTGAGAAGCTTATTCAAAGCATGATGAGGGCGGGCACACACACGGCGAGCTGGGACTCTGGTCCCCTGACCCTTAGCCCAGCAGCTGCTCTGTCCGAAAAGATTGTGTTACTTTCCAGAGTCTTGGCTAAAACGAGAGCATTTCGTCAAAAGAAAGAAAGAAATGACCACGAAAGGCCGAAACTTTAGGTGACATAAACGTAAAAGTGCCATGAAAGCGGGTGTTCTGTTGCCTTTAGCTGGTCTGTCTTTAAGTTTTTTTTATTTTCATTAATCTGTACATAAACTGGACCATCGTGGAATTGAACTCATTTGACTGGACCAGAATGAGTTGCTTTTCCAAACGGTTAGAATCGGATCACATCTTAGATCTCAAACCCTTTCTCAGTTCACCAACGAGTGCTCCTTAACTTCCCCAAGCTATATAAAAGCATTAATAATACTAACTTGTACAAAGTTATTCCATCGCGGGGCCTTTGGTTGAGTGGTGGGGCCTTTTTTTATTGTGCGCAGATACAAAATACGGTAAAACCGAAGCCCGCTGTAACATCGGGAGAGTGAGAGACAGCCTCTAACTGTCCTGTCGATTCCCACCACTTAACCTAACTAGGGCACCGTGGCAACAAATCACTCCATGTCCCCGTTCATTAGGTAATTAGGACCATCTCGTTGGCTGGATTGACTTGTCGTTTGTTATCTGCCCACTGACGCCAAACGCCAGAGCCATCTGACAAACTGACAGGGAGGAGCATCTTCAAAAGAGGCCGGCCTCGTCTCAGGATTACCAGTTTGAGCCCGTTTGAGCGAGATGATACTTTTAAGGAAGATTAGGAGGACCCTGGTTTATGGTAAGTGTAATAAAAGTGAAGATAAAGCGCCAATTTACTTAAACTCTTGGGCCGACACTAAGCTCCTGCATCCTTCCCAGAGATCTCGGAGGTTTATTTCTCGGGCAGACGTGTGCTCTGGAGGTCAGGCTGCTGTGTTTTTTACCCGCAGTGCATCAATGCAAAGCGCCCCGCCGCTAATAAGCTGCGCGGTGTGAACACGAGACCGGCCGGTGTAGCTTTAGCTCCGAGTAAAAACAACAGGGGGCTCGGGTTCCCGGAGTCGTCCGAGGTGTCGTCTATTTGCACAGGCAAATGGTAAACCTAAACTAGAGAAAGAGTTTCATGTATATCGAGTGGTTCAGCTAAAAAAACAACAACAAGAACAAAAAAAACACAGGCAAAACACTTTCAAAAAGCAAAAAAGGTGCAGCACAGAGAGGAATAACAGACTTAAGGGCCTTCTCTGAGCACCCCGGTCTGGACGATATCAAACTGCCCCCGCCCGGTCACTGTATTAAAGGATGTCAGAGGCGATAAACCTCAGTGTAGCTTCACTGTCCTGCGGCCACGGCACCTTTAGATGCGCTTTTCTTCTGACCACACCGAACCCCTGGTCGCGCAAACCCATTGATTTTTGTTTTTTCTCCCCATCTCTGACATTTAATCTAACCCGCTGTGATCTACGACCTTATTTTCGCACTAATTTCTTCTTGATCAGAGGTGATAAATATCGCATTGACATAAACCAACTCTTTGTGCGTCGCATCAACGCGCCGCTTTGTTTAACGCGGCGCCGCCTGGAGCTCTCCGACTCCAGTGGCAGCTTGAGAAATGACCCCAGCCTAGCCGAGAGAGACTCGGCGAGCAGCCGGCGGGACGTATTCCTCCGGGTCGCGCTCCAACGGTTCTAACATGTTCTTTTTCTTAACCAACATGGAGTAACACGACACATCGAAACCATTGAGTTAGAAACGCACAAACCGAACATCCATCCATCCATCCATCCATTATCAATACAGCTTATTCCCTCATGGGGTCGTGGGGGGAACTGGAGCCTATCCCAGTGGTCAACGGGCAAGAGGCAGGGTCACACAGAGACATACAAGGACAAACAACCACTCACACTCACATTCACTCCTAAGGGCAATTTCCCCAATTTCCAATCAGCCTAACATGCAGGTTTTTGGACTGTAAGGAGGAAGCCGGAGAACCCGGAGAGAACCCACGCAGACACAGGGAGAACATGCAAACTCCACCCAGAGGGGTCCTGGTTCCCCCGGGATTCGAACTTGCTGGGAGGCGACAGTGCTAACCACCACACCACCGTGCCGCCCACAAACCGAACAATAAAGCGCTAATTTTCTATCCATCTTTGGTTAGATCTGCAGTAGGTGAAGGATTCCTCTTTAGCATACAGAGGCTCTATCGTACCGACTCCTGTGGGTCTAAAACGAAATGCTACCACAACCAAATATAATCCTGTGTCAGTGAAGCTGAATGCTTTCTGTTGTTCCACCGAGCCTTTTCAGCGCTCAACTCAAGGACATTGTCCCTGTAATCCTTTTTAGCCCTGATCTACTTTAATCACACAAGCGGGATTTTTTTTTTAGGCAATTTCTACCGCACCTCCTCGGTTTTTCGTTTTTCATTTTCCCCACACAGAAGGCGACATTTTCTTTTTAACCGCCTTAAAAAGGAGCGCGTTCGGGTCCAAAAACTGCATCTTATGTTTCTAAGAATCTTTGCTCTTGACAAAATTCTGAAATCAGAATAAACAATCATTGTTTTCACTAATTCTATCTTAGGCGTTTTAAAGTAGGCAGAACAAGAAGTGAAGCTGTGCATTGTCACACATTACTGTGTGTTATTATTGTGTGTTTTTAGCTGGCGTTTTTGTCTCTGAATCGCTTTTTCATGCACAAATCTCCCAAATGGAAAGTTTCTTGTGTGTCTGAAAGGCAATTATTGAGCTCTTGACTCTTTGAGCAATACAAGTTAAGCTCAATCATGGGTTAACTGTGGTTCCTGCCCCTCGAAAAATCCAACCATTTAAATTAGTAAAAAAAAAAAAGGTGTAGTGTGTTCTTTCATTCTGTTTGAGGGTGCGCCAAACAATCCACTAGTCAGACTTTATGCAAATATGGGACGTCGTCAGGCCGAGGAAGAAAAGACTGGATGGCAAATGAGCCGTTAAAAGTGAGGTTTAAGAGTGATGTTTTCTGTGGGAGACAATAACTCACATAACAAAACTATAAAGAGAGGCAGGAACCCAGAAACATAACACGGCTTATTTCGGGGGCAACATAATGATCCGGATAATGGCGCCAGGCTGAACACTAACTGATTTAAATGGCATTCCTTTGGAGAGCGAATATGTGCGGCTGAACTTCAGAACACGTCAGTTGATGAATTTAAAGGCTAAGACTGAAAGACGATTGCACGGGACAAAGCATTCATGCTAGCAACTGTTTGGGAGGAGTTGTACTAATACAATAATTCATATTTACAAGGCCCGAGGCGTTTTTAGATTGCATCATAAAGTCTAGTGTGGGAGAAGGGAGAAACCCAGTTTTTAGCTGAGAATGATTTCATTTAGTTCAGTTTCAAGTCAAATCTACAAACTTAACCTCAACAGGACTTTTTGATTGATGCTTCTCGCCGGATTGGGCCGATTGTGGCGTCTTACCCCTCAGAGACGTTTTTGTTGAGTGCCCCCCCCCCCCCCCACACACACACATACACACATACACACACACACACCGCTGAGGACAGAGCCACAGGTGAGATCCCTCTAAATGACACACAAGTGGCCATTAATTATAGATGACACTTTGGTCACAGAAACGATTTCATCCTTAAATGAGGTCTGAGGGGCGGCCGCCACAGAGGTCGCCGTGCGCGGGAGTGTATGCTAGCGTGCGCGCGCGTGTGTGTGTGTGTGTGTGTGTGTGTGAAATGCGGCGCCATCACCTGTGGCCCTGTTCCCAGCTCAGCAGGAGAAAAACACACACACACGCACAGACAGACGCAGAGGCCGCAAACGCACACACACACACACGAGCGCGGGTGTGTGTTGATGGGCTGGCGAATCCGGCGGGCCCCCATCCAGCACATGGCAGCGCTTTGATGAACACACTCATTATGCTAAAGAGCGCTTCATGCCCGGGCTTCCCTGTGCCTTCGGGAAAGGTTAACTCGGGATGGTTACACAGCACAGCGAGAGCCCGTGGGCGCACGGGGGCAGGGAGAGGGCTCCGGAGGAGCGCGCGAGGCCGCGTTAGATGTCTCGGCGCCCCCAAAAATAGAACTCCAAAAGCGCAAATATCACGGGAACGTCGAGGTGTCGCGATGGAAGCCGGCGGATAAACAAAAAACGTGGCAGGTGAAGCAGGATTTCACGTCGGGGATCAGACGTCTGCGGCCGGGGGCCAGAAGGCCCGATTAGCGGGGGGAAACCTGATGCACGGGGGCGCGTTTTGTTTCCCAAATATGAAGCGAATGACAGACGAGCGAGGAAAAAAATGAGGATCCTCGGGGAGGAGACTCGGTGGGAAATCGTATTGGAAAAAACAAAACAAAAAAAACACTGACACCGTTAATTTTTTCAGCCGAGACACCTGGCGGGTTGGCGGCGGGGCAACAGGTGGGCCCAGGTGTGCAACATGTGGGCCCAGGTGTGCAACAGGTGGCGCTCGACATCACCCGCGTTCCTCTGAATGACACTCACCGTGGACAGATCCACTCTGGTTCCGGGTCGGATCAGGTGACCCCGGAGTTTTGGGAGGTGTCACGTTACCTGAGGCTGGATGAGTCTTCAGAAAGGTCACCAAAAAACAGCCAACAATGCAGAAGCTCCATGAGCTAAAAAGCTTGAAAAATATCTATAAAAAAAAAAAAGATGTGTTATTTGCGCATAAGTGGATTAACTAGTCGAATTGTTTGGATGGAAATCTGAGTGGTCATTCTAACTGGTTCTGTCCTGGTTTTGCTGTAGCGAAAACCGGCTGTTTGAAAATGAGATCCAGTTAGTTTAAAGCTCAGAAGCGGGCCTGAATCCGACCCCATTGGAACCACAGCTGTTCACTCATTTAAATCTAAGTTCTCCTTCTTGATATGAACTAGAAACTTCAGTAGGAATCTCACTTTCCGACCCAATCAGAACTTATTCCACACTCACTTCGCTTCTCCTCTCTGCTCTTAGCTGCGTTTTACACTACCGAAGTTATTTCTCGCTCACTTATTGTGCTTAAACTTATTGTTACTCTGTTTTTTGGAGAGGTGGTGAAACTGGGTGCACTTAACTGTAGCTCTCTTTCTCTAAAATTTTAATTCGTTGTAATTCCTTGTCAGATATTAGACGACATAACTCCCTGTGGTCGCATTTATCCGGGATCGGGATCGCCACAATCTGAGCCTGCAATGTCTTTTCCCAAAGAAACCTCGACATGTAACCCCCCCCGAGCCACAACCCCACCCCCAGTACAGTCTGAGCAATAATGCAAATGACAGAGTCTTTGTTGCTCGGTCGCAGGGCAGAGCTCAGGTTTAATGAGGCCGTTTGTCAGTGTCTTGTGTCTCCATAATCTTCATAATGACATTTCACATCCGGTTTGCTTTCTCTAGGTCTCAAAGACAGACTGTCAGCTTTCCCAAACTCAGGCCGGCTAGTGTCCAGCTAAAGGCCTGAAATGCGTTTAGATGGTGTTCGGCACGGGTCACACAGCGTGTTTAAGATCATCAAACACCCAGTTAAACTGATTTAACCAGCAAGAGGTGTGAAATCAGGGTGAAAATGGGCATTTTTCATGAGAAGCAAAACAGGATAAATTGAGAATTTGCTAAAAAAAAAAAAAAAAGGTACTAAGTTAAAGCTACTGTGGTCCGTGTCCCGTTGGTTAAGGAGCTTTCTGACAAAAACTGGACAAATAAATCAGCCCAAAGAATTTCCCCGAACTACAAACAGACATGATGAGAAAAGGGTAAAAACACAACTAATTGAGCTACAGTTTAGTCCGGGATATCTCAGATTGATGACACAGTCCACCGTTTTGCGAACGGTTTCACCTCGACAGAAACGTGCAAAAAAAGAGAACAAAGTCCTTCTCAAAACAGCCCTCACTCCGACTCTCTTTCCTCGGAGGAAGATTAGCATCTAATTACAAGGGAGATCAGCAAAAAGACGGGAGAAAGGACCTGTGTATTTTAACAAGGCGGTTGAGGAGGAGTGGCACGGGGGGAGGAGGTGGCACAGCCCTCGTCATGGGCCCACTGATTTTCTGCTTTTAATCCTCGACCTCATTATCACCTCCAGGTCCGGCAGTGGCAGTAAATGAATCTATCTGCCGAGTGTCAAATCTTCACACCTCCACCCTGGTAATCACCCCAAGGTGCAAATGCAGAAGATGGATAGGAGTGGAGAGAAGCGAAAGCAGGGAGAGCGCGTGACCCCGGCTTCTCATCAACAAATACCTTCATTTCATAATTAAGTGTCGCTGCTTAATTATGTTGTTTGTGTGACAATTACAGCTCATCAAATATTCGCTTGTGTTAAGGTCAGAACAGTTAAATGTATGGATCGGCCTCATGTCGGATGTGAAGAGCCATTCCCGCTGTCAGACAAATATCCAGCTCCTTCAAATGTAGTCGTTTTTCTTTTCACACAGTCTGAAATCTAACATTGTATTATTTATGATGACCTTAGAGTAAAAATATGACAGGAAAATGTGAACCAGATGTCCCAAATGACACCCCAAAGGGTAAAGATATCCCATTTTTTGAAAGGTTTTAGCATTTACAGCGGATGAGTATGGCTCAAAATGCTCCTTATGATGTTTAAAGATGCCGTTGTGTGAGTTTTATGTGGGGTTTTGATCAAATTAACATACACAGTGTCAATTTAATAATAAATGAAATGCATTTGTGCAAAAACTAATGTAAATTGTTTAAATATGCCCATCAATGGTTGTAAGAGGACATGAAAGACAGCTATTAGTTCAAATGCAAAAGAGTTTATAAGATGCAGCTGGATGTATTTAATGGAAAATTTGACCGGCACATTGTCCAAAAGTAAAATGTATATGACTGTCGGAGAAGCTTTTCTTGTCTTTTAATTTTGCCAATTGACAAAAAGAATAAATAATTTAGATAAATCACATATTAATGGACCTCAGCTCCTTTCACTCCTATGGGAACTCGGTTTGTCAGGGGACTGACTATTTACTGGTCAGAAAGATCCCCCTTTAGTACACTAATCTGTCAGCATTTAACTGAGACCTTCCTTAAGGAGTCAGTGTACATGTAGGTTATGGCTGGGAGATGTGGAACAGCAGCTGGATAACAGGAATGCTCTTTGTCTCTGCTGCTAGGAAACTTTCACCTGCTTTCAAGAGAGACTGAGACCGGGAAGCAGCAAAAAACAGCTAATAAAAAAGGAATATCTTGCAGAAAACACTGCATAGAATAAAGTATAATGACCGATGATATTGAGTTGATGTTATGTAATAGATTAGACCTCACAACACAGAGACCTTTGATCATTTTTGCTTTTCATGTGTTTAAATTGTGTTGATTTTATATTTCACAATGTTTTGTGGGAATTTAAAGGGGAAAAAAATTGGCTGCAGATTCTTTAATCTATTTGACTGTACAAATCTCAAAAAATGATTCACTCATGTTTAAGTGTGATGGTAATTTTATGCTTTGTAGACTGATATAATACCTACAAATCAATACCAATATCTTTTTAATTGTCTCTGTCTGTACTAATTTGACTTTATTTGTATTTTATGCAAAGAACGAGAAGTTTGTGAATCTCAAAATTGTGAGATTTTGACCTGTTTTAGACTTTAGTGTCCTTTAGTTAAGTGAAAAGTAAAAATCTGTTACTTCATGTGTGTAATAATGCATGCTATGGAAATATGACTATGATATAGGAGTTGCTCGGAGATGTTTCACGAATTATAACATTTATGGCTCTTCTATCATTTCAGTATCTTCATCAACTAATTCCTGTCTAACACTTACATTTGCAGACATGATTGTAATAAAATAAAAATTCTTCCCCTTCCAGACATCACACACATTTCTTCTCAGAGGTTGTGGAGAAAGAGCTTCCAGCGTCAGGGAAAATGACTCGGTGATAAGTTGCATTATACTTCCAACGGACAGGAGCCCTTTGGAAAAATCTAACAAAACCTTCTTCTACCTTGAAAAACTATAATCATGCATTATTGAATTGGCAAGGATAGTGTGTAATAGAGAGATCCTAAACTCATTCCCCCGCATGAATTATTCATTGAATTCAAATAACAGACAGAATCATTTTCTTAAAATATCTCAATCATTTTTCACGATGGCTTGCTGTGGCGTAAAACAACAGCGACGCGGAGGCCGCATGCAGACACAGGAAGTGACAAACAGGCCAGCCATTCATCAACATCCGGAGGAGCTCCTCCATGCTGGAGCGGGTGGCGTCCTCCGTGTAATGGCTACCCCATATTCCTGCGTTAAATGACAGACTTGTGTTTTTCTAAAACTCCTTTCACTTCCGTTTGGGCTTATCTTCACGTCCGAGCTGCAGAAGGCAAAGCTGGCTAAATGTTGTACTAAGGCCGGGGTAAAATATGATAATGAGTACAAATGGGATTATTAGGAGGCTGTGTGTCATCAGTCTGACTGATCCGTGATGTCAAACTAGCCAAGCAAATTCAATTAGGCCCGCAATTACTCCCCGGCGCTAGTGGAGATGTATCGGAGATGTTAAATATTGATGGAAACATAGATGCCGCATTTGTTCATCTGCAAAGGTGAACACATCTCCTAGAGGCAATCACAAATGCTAAATATGTAGCCACTCCATTAGTCACGCTAAGCAACTCGCCGGCATGCTGCACATGTGTGTGAACAAGTTCAGCCAACGCGCCTGTGACTGGCTGTAAATGGAGGGAGATTTCATTTTTGGGACTATTTGCATTTTAAAGTCAAGATTTATTTGAAATAAGGCTGTGCCACTAATTCAATTTAACCACCACCCCCACACAATAGATTTCTAACAAGAAAAAATATCAGAAAATGGATCCAACACTAAATAAATCCAGAAGTTTCTACATGTAAACATCAATAATCAATAATATGCCAGGCTTTAGGCCCGATACAAGAAGACGTCTTCTTTTAAATCTATTAAAAACCACAGGGTGGCCAGATGACCAAAAATAGTGTAAGTCTCATCAGTTAATAGCTCTAGACCTGCTCACTGAGACTGACTTAGCAATACCTGTCATTCTTCTTCTCCAGTTAAGCCTCAGTTATATGTTCATCCTCTCATTTGAAATCAAATCTCAGCGTCCCGGTCAGACCCAAAGAATCGTACCTGCTGTTAAACTTCTCCGGGTGCTTCTCCCTCATGACGTGGAAACGGTGTGCGATGGAGGCATCCTGCAAGAGAAGAGAAAAAAAAAGCTTTACCCAAGGCGGCCTTTACTCCTGTTCCCGTCCCAAAGCAGATAGAGGTGTGGAGCAACCTCACTCTTCCTCCTGGATCAGATTACTGTACATCCTGACTTTAGAGAGTGCCTTTTTCTTTTTATGCTCTCCTATCCCCACAGCACCCCAACTGAGCTGATCAAATGTGTTGCCCCTGCACTCTAAAACTGAATCACTTTTACGACCAGATGAGCTCATAATGCCAAAAAGTAACACTTCTTGACACAACCTGAACAAAAATGTAATCTAATTTTGATTTGTCTACTCGTGACTTGTTTTTAGAAGCTAAAACAAACTACTAAAACAATAAGTCACGTCTCACAGGTCCCTTTTTTCCTCTCTATGGCCTGAAAGATGCTGTCAGGGCTAATGTGTCAGGACCCTGGATTGGAGTGGTTGCAGGCAGAAGCCCGGATGAGCGGCACATTATCTCCATATGGGTCAAATGATTAAACACACATTGTAATCACAGCTCCAAACTAAACCTACAGGAGGCTGACGGCTCCCCCGGCAACCAGTTTGTTTTCTCCATCCCTTCCTCCACTCCCCTCTTCCTCTCCATATCTGACCCCCCACCCCCCTTATGCCACTATGTGACCTGTGGTATAAAAAAAAAAAGTAAAAAGCAGCAGCATTCTTAGGTTTTGTGGTGTCGAGACAATGCATTTTATGCCACTTTTGTTATTTTTGGTGCTTCTTGTCACACATCAACATTAGCTTATGGATTTAGATTACTTCAGTCCGACACGGGGTTTGATCCAAGTAAAAAATTAAAAAAAATGATGTGGACCATGACGTTATCAGGAGGATTACATGAAAGTTCCTATCTTTAGAGGCACATCACTGCAATATTTGATGCTCTGGCCTTGATGTACATACCAAGTAAACCTGGCAACAAAAAAAAAATACTGGCAAACAATCCACCAGGGACAATGGTTTTCTTCCTCCTTAAACTGTATTTAAAAACGTCATTAGATTTTGTGGCAAGTCTACTTTATACCACCAGTAACTACAATCAAAGGTGTCAAAAAGGTCAGAAGTGTTAGAACTTACATTGGCCCCATGAACAGAAAAATCATGGTGTTAAATCAAGTGTGAGAGATTTTTAATCTATGCTCACAGAAGTCTATTGAATTGGCAGTAAATGAATCAAATCCTTCTCTTTTCCTAAACCTTAGTAGGTTGATTTGGTTTAATTTCAGGGGTAAAAATCCAAAACCATCTGCTTTTCCGAGTTCAAAAGTAAATACCTTAATCAAATTTTGTATTTACAGGCAGCAGACATCTTTTGATAATCTTGAAATACAACTATTCTTAATATTGTAAAGACAATGCTCATAACAAAACGTTCTAACCGTTCCGTGGTTTGAAATGACGTTTCACTAAAAGCAAACACAACACACCTAAACTGGGCAATGAACCCTTTTTACCAGAATCAAGTGTGCAGAAGCAGGAATATGTGTAAAACCTGCAGAAGGACCAGATTCTGCACTAAGGCGACAATCACAAAGCACTAAATCAAAGCATTGTGTTCATCTAAGATGTGGAAATGCACACGTCAGGTCAAAGGTCAAGAGAAATTAAAGGCCAAAGTGACAATTCAGGTTTGAGTTCACATCCATGCAAATTAGACAGACGATCTAATACAGAACATTTTCTGGTTGGCAGTGCCTAAACCCATTAAACAGACAGGGACATTTTTCCTTTAACTCACTTTTTTTTAGTGTGGGCGTCAGCAACAAAAATGCTGGCACTGCCTTTGTTCCAACTCTGACAAACACCGCAAAGTTGTCCGGCTCTTAAAATCATCTCAAGATGGAGCGAAGGGGGGAAAGTTTCTGTAAACTTTTTTTGGGCTTGTTTCCCTCCTCCCCCACCTCCTCCCCCCCCCCCCCCCCCACCCCCCCCCCCTGCTGAAGCAATCTGTTTTGACCCACTCCGTTTTGAGTGGCACGATTGAAACAGCACCTACAGGGAGGACCCCCTGCTAGCTCTCTGTACAGAAATCCAGGAGAAGCCAAAAGAGAAAAAATCAATGGAGCTCCTCTTGATGTCTCTTCAAGACGCTGTAAGCAGAAGACCAAAAGATTTCTCCAAGATCCCCGCAGACTCGCCTCACACTTCCAACGCGAGCCAAAAGGGTGAGGTGATGGATGTATCTGAGAGATTGTAACTCGATTTTCTTACAAACAGGACAATAGCTGCGAACAAGAGAGCAAAAGCGAGGAGAGGTTGTCTCCCCTTTGGTTTGGAGTCTATTATCTGAGATCTGTACAAGTGGAACTGTGGCTTTGCAACAGTACACAGCGATTTCAAGCAGCCAGGAGTGGATGAGGCACTTTGTGTTGGGAAACTTTTAAAATACACACACTTTTTACTGTATCGGGTAACAAAGACAAGGGTCGTTTGGAGTGTGTCCGTCTTGAGCTCGGAGCAAAAGTGAAAACGGGATCGATAATGAATATAAAAGAATCAGGATAAGACAGAAACAAGTCATCAGTGTTTACTCATTCGAGTTTTCCTTTTTAAGACTTCAATAAATCTTCAAAATTAGGTACATGCTGATGGTTTCTTCACTTCTGGGTGACGTCTAATGAACGACAACCACAAAAGTTTAGCAAAAGCCACTTTTGACTTGAGTGTTAGTTGTTCAAATGAAGACGCACAACTTGTTAAGGGGACAAATTGGCAAAATTTTCCAACACAGCCACGTTCATCACGTCCGTTAAAGCCATTTTGCCCATCGATGGGCAGATGCCGAGTCAGCAGATTTTTGGTCTGGGGCTTTTCGGACCGATTGAAGAAAAAAAAAATAACAACAAATGGCCAATAGGACAATGTTTTAGTCAGAGTATTACAAATCTGGAGAGACGTGTCAAATGGTCATTATTACATTAAAATTTTTTACATTTTCACCCATTTGAAAACAAAAACATTGAATAGCAGCAGATGAGGCCCCCAGGCCTTAAACACATGTAGGACACATTGTCGTGCAGTGGGACATCACAGACACCCCCCCCGCACGCTCAAATAATTACCAATGTAAAAGTCTGGCACCCAAATTAATGCAGGACATGTGTAATGTCCTCTCATAGCTCAAAGTTTAGTCCAATTATGAGCAGGCCCCAGCGGTTTGATGTGCCTTTCACGACCGGGAAAGAGTAATGGCTTTGACAAGAGTGCCAGGGTCATTAGGCCCACTGACTGCATTATGCTAGCGGAGCGCCCTCAGTGATTAGTTCTGTCTCTCACCCCTGGCCCTGATTGAGATCATTACACTTCACGTCACTTCCCCATCCTCCCAAAGGGATGAGACCATTAATTCTCCATCCAATTGGGCTGTGGCAGAAGGTTGGGCCAGGGGGAATTTACATAAAGATAAAAAAAAAAAAAGAAGGACCTCTTCGTGGAAGGATTACCTGGGAGTGACTCCGGACCAGAAGACTCTTAAAACTTGTTTGTCCAGAATGTGTGTGTGTGTTTGCAAAAAAACTCCGGAGCGGTTCGGACAGATCAAACTGGAATGCGGAACGCCTCAAAAGTGGAGCACATATCAGCGGTTAGTGCTGATCTTTTGGTTTCAACAGCCGTCATTACAGAAACAATCCTCTCCCCATCTGCATAATCTCCGAGGTAATTATCAGCTTGACTTGTCGCGCAATCTTTAATGCAATTTTTTTTTTTTTTTCACTCAACGGAAAGCAAAAAATATGGTGCAAACAAAATATTATATCACACTCAAATCCATAGAGAGCTCAAAGTCTCCTTAATCCCTCCCAAACAACTTCATTTGTCATCATTATGCCCACTGGTTACTAATCCCACGATCAGAGGAAAGACAGCAGAGGTTATAACACCTTCAGGAGTGGAGCTCTGCCTCCAACAACATGGGAAAGAGATTTTGCCACTAAATAAGTGAAGAAAATATATTTTTCTAAGCAGCGAATGCATCAAATTTCAGGGACTTTGTGAAAGATTCCTAAACAAATTTGTCTTTATTGATCTTTTTTTTCCAAATATCTGGCTGATTTCCACAGCTTGACACTCCGTAGACCAAATAAATGTAGGAAGGAGATAAATTATATCTTAGATGATGCTTTTTTAAAACCATGTTTAGGTAAATAATATGTGAAATACATTGTAAGCTGCAGTCTATGTGAAAGCTTCTATCTTTGGCCACGATTTGCTGGTTTTTATGCAAATTCTTCTTGCATTTTTTTTTTCTCTCTGCATATTTAGGTTTGAATTATAATCAAGTTAAATATTGTTCCTGTAACTGATCTGAATTAGCTTCCTGATATTCTGCAGACTTGCTTGTGCACTTTGATGATGTCTCAGAAAAGTCCAAAACCTGTTCAAAGCTTTAATAAGCCGCGGCAGTATTATGGATTTGTTTCTGTTTAATCAGGGTTTGCTGTATGCTCGTCCTCTCAGAGGACGAAATAAAGCCGAGTTGACACCGTGCTTCCAAAAAATGCTCCAGAATGGCTTGTTTTTGGCATTTACGGGTAGATAACTAGTGCAATAAAACATCACCCGGGGAAGGTTCTGACGTGCATTTCACACTACAACCACTTCCACCTTGTGCTTGTCACCGTATGGTCGCTTCTGCAGACAGACTGCAGCCATTGTTTCTTGTCTATCAAAATGTTAACAAGACCTGTCCACTAATATCCTCAAACGTTGTCATTAGGGGCCCCCGGGGCTGGAGGTGTTCATTCTGCTAACATTTGTGAGGCCATGCATCACTTACGTCTCTGTGCAAACCCTCACACACTCCCTGCTCTGCCACCTGCAAATGTCAATTACTATATTTCCCCCTGACATTTATCGGTAATGGCCAACATGGGCTACGTGAAATCAGTGTCATTATGCTGGAGATGGACGCGGGAGCGCTGTTTCTCCGCGCGGACACGCAAACGAGGCCCGTCTATCGATCAGAGACGGCTGAAGCTCGAGCACATCTCAATAAAGACCTAACAACAATGTGATCAAAACAGATGAATTGACTGATTATGCCGGAGCGGCAGGGGCTCTGTTTGTGTATTACCTTTTTAAATTCAACATTTAATGACGGATGCGAGAATTACTGAGGGGAGGGAATTAAATTGTCTGCACACGAGTCGACATCTCAGAGGCTCCCGCCTTTGTTTCAACCTGAGTTTGAGCACATTCACCACTCTTAGAAGCTTTCTCACTACAGGTAAACTCAACACCGGTGTGAAAGGTGCTGTGAGATTGTTCCGCCAGCTACGCACAGGTGTGGCATTAGGACCGACGCCACATTCCTGCAGAATATCGCGTGCACGTTGCTCATCATTCTGCGCCGTTGAAAATGTTTCTGCCATCTGTGTTTAAACCGTTTTTTCTTGTTTACATCCCCAGTCCATGCTGCCGTTGGTCCAAACCAATGGCATCTCTCAGAGGGTTTGGTCACTCGGGGAAAAAAGAAGCTCAAAATGACTATTTATTATTTAAAAAAAAGGAAAATTAAGTTAGACATGAATTAAGATAGATAACAGAATCAGTCACAGGAAACACAGAACTAAAAATAAAACCGGAAACTTAACTATTATGTTAGCAAGGCCAATTTTATCAAACTTTCTATGCCATTTTTTACATTTTTACAAGACTACTGTGACTAACCAGTGAAGATTAAAACATTTAAACTTATGGAAAAGAAATTTAGATATATAGTCTGATTTTATTTCTTAGAGGTTGAAACTGGGGGAGTAACAGTAGCCTGATTAAGTCTTTAACATAAATACATATTCATTGTTTTTCTTGTTTATTGACTTATAATTAAAGTTCGAATAATTCAGCCTTAGAAGACTACTGTAAACTGACCATGGACCCAGATTTGCATTGAGAGGTTAAAGGTAAATGCTGGAACATGGATCCCCTCCTCCATTTTGGGGAAAAGGGGATCCAGGCAGTTTTTATTTTTTAAAATCTTTTGGGTTTCGGCCTCACTCGATAGACCGGCCCACCTCCAGCTCAGCTCTGCCAAACAGTTTTTACACAATTCTGGCACATGTAGGGAGTCTTTCAGGTAATTTTTGGACCTTCTGCATGTTTTGCATGCAGAAGATCATCAAGATTCAACTTCAGAAAAGTTGACCGAGTTAAGCCTGGTCAAATCAGTTGGTGGTCGGTGTCCTTTTCTCCAAATAATGACGCTGCAAAGCACTCAAAAGCTACGGAAAAAAACCTGTTTTTATTTCTTTAAAAGTTCTGCCGAGTTGTACAATAATAAATGTATAGCGTCTTTTTGTTTAATATGAGCTGTTATTGATAACATGTCTCTTTATATGTATGACAACAAATGTTTTTCATTTGAAATCTTATTTCTAATCCACGTTGTAACCAATGAATACAATTAAAAATTGCATTCATCTGTTTATCTTGTTTATTTCTGCAAAAATAAAAAAAAAGTGTGCACAGTTGGGGGGAGGGGGGTATGCCGCCACACATTTTGACTGTGTGTTTTTTCCAGCATGGGAGTTGTTCTCATTTGACACTTCATCCGTGAGACGCACCACGATCCATGTCACACAAAGGTGTTTTTGTAATCACAGGCGTCATCCAATTGCCAGGCAACTTGCAAACAGTTGTCAATCGTTTGTGTGTGCACGCAGTTACAGAGAGACGAAAAAACAAAAACAACCTGCAACAAAGATGGAGTGGTTAATGCATTCACTGTAAAAAAAAAAAGAAAAAGAAAAAAGAAAGTAGTCTGGTTTCCTCTTTCAGAAACAAGCTGAAATGTGGGAACTAAACATCCAGGGGTTCAAGCCACTGTGCTAAATTGTAATTAGAGTAATGAGACAGTTCTAAAAAGCACTGCTACAGTCAACTGGAGGTGGGTCCGTGGAAAAATGTCGCCATGGTCCCATAAACTGTGCACAATGCAGCCAGAGGCCTCAATTCCCCCTGAGCCCGGAGTGTTGCTGCATCTGAATACATAGTCTGAATACACAGGCCTTGTCTCTTCCTCTGAGTTACGAAATATGCAAAACGTTTGTCTGTTTACATTCATTTTAGAGCCGAGGGAAAATAATTGTTAATCAAGGGAATATTGGTGAAAATGCTATGTCAGCTGTTCTAAGCCTCATAACCAAAAGGAGACTAAACGTTAGAAGAGTTGATCACAAAAAGAGGCAAAAAGTGATTAATAAAAAATGGATGGCCATGGCTAAAAATACATTTTATTAAAAAATTTCTGGGCAGCGTATAGCTTATTTTGAGTTTGTACTGTTATTTTTTCATTTGAGTGCAATCTACCGATGAAGTTCTAACTTTTCTTTTCAGATGGAAACTTCTGTGGGTACAAACTCCCACATAACTCGGTAAACAGAGGGTTCTGAATAGCTCGATTCACATTATCGGGATGTCTTCCTGAGTCAGAATTCAGAAGTCAAAGAACTGGGACTCTTTTTAGACATTTGGATCTTAAAAACAGCTGCACAGACTTATTCAGAATTCAGCCGATGCGGTTGACGTGTACTCCTGACATCACCTGCTCGAGATGAATCAGGACTGTGTGAAGTGATGTTTGGGATATTATCATTTTCTTAAATCATTTAAAAACTATGGTAAAATGAATTAAATCGCAACATGCGTTAGTCTCACACAGACACATCTGTGAAAAAAAACATAAACACATTATGCCCCCAAAAAATAAAGATAAAAATTAACAGTGGAGCTGGACTTTATGCAGATAGTCTACAGTTTTGTTTTTTTCTCTCACACTGCTTTGAACCTTTGAACTCACAGAACTGTTACCTTTTATATTTTGCAAAGAAAATGGGAAATATGGGTGTAGAGTGGGCAGTTTTAATCTAAAAAATAAATAAATCATTTCCATAATTCTTTAACACAGCCTGAACCCTCTGAGAAATTAAAGAGTGAAAGGCATTCAAGCCATTTTCAGTATCGTATTAATTGGATATTTGACGTTTTCTCAAATATCAATGACATGTTTACCATCTATTTGAACAATAAAATGCTTCATGTGCTGCCAAACATCTGTATTTCCACACTGAATCATCTGGAGAAAACGTTAAAAAAACATAGAAAACATTTTAAAAAATCGAGATTAGGAATCTCGACAAAAGACATGAACCTGGAGCTGGTATTTTGCTGACCTGTTACACAAAGTGAATAACACGAGCGTGCGTGTGTGTCCCACTCACCACTCCGATGGAGAAGTAGTTGTTGACGATGCTGTAAGGCACTGGGTCCCCCTGCTCCTCCTTGTCTGTGGGTGTGACATCGATCTTCCAGCGGTCCAGCATCACTTCTGAACTGTTCTCGATGTCTTTCAGGATCTTGAGGAGGCTTTCCCCCTCATAGCCTCAGAAAAACACGAAAGAGATCAGACGTTAAAATGGGTCTTTATCATTAAAGAAATGATTTATGTTCAAACGTAATTTATAACTTTTTGGATGACCTTTTTTTTGTTTATCAGTTGGAATAAATATCAGAACGTGGAAACGTTAATGCAGCCAAAAAGATGACATCATAAGTTCATAAGTAACCCTCAACTGGGACCATAAGGGGTATCCTCCAAATGGATCTAGTCCTCTTAAAGAGGAAGAGAAAGGAGGCTAAAGGGGGAGAGGGGGAGGATGGTGGTAGCATTTTTAAATGCTTTTAACACTGGAATTTGGTTTCAACACAGATTTTATTTTTTATTTTCTCAGTTCTGCCTTCATGTCAGGCACAAACACGATACAGAAAAAAGACGTTTTTGTCTTTTGTCTTGCTGGGAATGTGTTTAACGGAGGCCAATTTTCCAGATGTCTAATGATGCGCCAGTAAATCTGTTTGTTCAAACACTTCAGAACACTTTTTCTAAACATGGTAAGTGTGCAAAATAGACAATATAACATCCTGCGACAACTTAAAGTCTGCAACATGTTTCAGGAAAAAGTGGAGAAAGTTCCTCTTTGCTATCATAGAAAAACATTGAACTCACTGATATTGTGATAATTCATTTGTGAGCTGGGGAATCGTTCCATGTTTGCAAAAGTAAAAAATTGTTATGAAAAAAGCTCTTTTGCGGACGTTCAGGCTTGATTTTTTTTTTTTTTTTACCCGCTTGATGAGGCCTGATTGTATTTTTTTTTTTTACAATGTGTAATTTGATCTGTTGAAATAAAGAAATTGCACTCTCTCTATCCCGATCTTTTTATAACATAACAGATAATGGGCCACCTGCCTTGCCATTTCATCAGGTTGTGTACCATGTTGCTATAGCAGCCCAGGAGGGACAAAACAGAAGTAATAGCTACAGAGAATTGGTCACCATTTGCTATTTGAGCCACTTAATGTTATTTTATCTGGCTCTGTATTTAATATTGTGCTTCCTGGTGTGTCTGTTACTTGTGTCTTATACAGTACTCCAATTCATCACAGATACTGTTTTTTTAACAGCATGTCGAGATGAAAGCGGATGGTTCCACTCCTCTTTAGTCTGTTCTTCTTCAGCTGAGACCATCTTAAATGATCTCAGGCACAGCATTTCTCTTGTTTTTGTGTTTTAATCTTTCTGTGGTGCGTGGTGCATCTTTTTTCCCATATTTGCTGCCGTGTTTGAACGGAAAACAAAATGATTCCCGTTTCAACAACTATTCTAATCGCATATCATCAGGGGAAGAGTGCATTTGTGTCTGTGCTACAGGCTAGTGTGAGCATGTTGTGCGGCGCTGGATCTGTTTTCTGTCAGTACCTCCTCCCCATCGCAGACATCTTGCCAGGTCATTGCCCGTGCCAAGAGGAAGTATACACACGGGGGGGTTCCTGTCCAGGTTGGACTTATCTGGAGTAGTGGGACAAATATCACAACAAGACGTGAAATGAAGCCAAACCAAGACGACAAAGTCACTGCAAAAAAAAAAAAAAAACTTCCAAAGGAAGCCCCAAATCCATTTAACTGCCCCGACTGTAAACCTGCGGCTAAATATGAATTTCCAGTTGCTCAGTCTATTTCAAAAGACACATTTTGCCTGTCCGTTATTACCCGCCTTTGTTTTGATTGATAAAAAATTGAGGCAATTTTTGAGACTCTGAACAAGTAACACATATTCAAGACCAAATTCTGGAGGCCCAGTGATTTTTTTTTTCTCCCCCCTCCCCCCTTTCAAATGATGACTAATATGTTGTTTTTCCAACTCGGGTAATCATCCTATTTGAGCCCCCCCCTCACTGCGCAGGCTTGGCTGTAATGGAAGTGTTTATATACAACCCATAACTGACGCTTTACCATCACGGGGCTGAACAACAAGAGTGATGCAAAACTAATAAAAACAAGTGCAATTTTCCCAAAAAAAGGAAATGGAGTGTTCCAGTGGCACGACGCTGAAGGTTGGCGCGTGATGCACGTGTGTGTGTGTGGTGCCTTTTGTTTCAACGATCGAGGGTTCGGCGGGAAAGCGGGCGCCAGATTCTTAGACGAACGCTGAGGTTATAGAATCTTGAATGGAGAGGCCATATCCGTACCGATGAAGTCCAGGATCCAGCCCACGGTGCCGTCCCCGCCGCAGGCCAGCACCCTGAAGTCCGGAACGTCCCGGAAGAAGTTCAACCTGCAGCAGAACACAGGCAGCACCCCAAAAAGTCAACCACCGTCCACCGGGGGGGCCGTTTTAATCTCATTCTGAGCTCCTCATGCAGTCATCTTGACTGTGATCCAAACCCACGAACCCTGAGTCAGGCTAGGAAAAAGTCACCGGTTCAATCAGGCGATCCGAGGAAAAAAAAAGATATTTTCAAACGTGGCAACTTTTCTTGTTTTTAAGGGGTTGATAACGCAGTGAGACATTGCACTGCCAAGCCCACCTAATCCCCGCAAAATAACGGGAGCCACGTTGATATTACTCATTCCGTGAGCTAGCCCGCCTGTCCGGTTGCACTAATTGGATCATGACGGGCAATGTTCGGTCCAACTTCTTCCGTTCCTTCACAATAACAAAGCCCTAAGTGAATGAGCCAGGCCTCCCGGCCTTCGTATGGCGGGTAAATGATTCGCTCAATTACTCTCCGGCTGGGGCCGCAAACCGCATTAGACGCGGAACAGACGGCCGCGCACATGAAAGGCAACTTTGGGGATGTTTAAATACCGAGGAACAAACGCTTAATTTGCCCGGGATTGCATTAGGGAGGCCGCTAATTGACAGCGGTCGTGCGCGGCCTGCAGTGTCCGACAGTGACCGCTCGCCCCGCTAATGTGTGCTGCAGAGGGCACACTTGGCGGGGTATTAACGAGGTTTACGGCCGGGGGCCGGGGTCATCTGGAATGTTTTCAGCTCTGAGGAGGAGCTCTGGATTCGGCAGTGGGGGGGGAACGGAGGGAGAGCTTCTGAAACTTGGAGCCAGCTTCATCCGAGCACCAACAAGGTGCCATTTTATTTGTTTCCGATCGGTCCCCGAAGAGGTTGATTTCGCGTCTAATCAGAGCAAAACAACGCGGCGGCACGACGCGGGCGGCATTCCGGCGTGAGGGGGGGGGGTCCCCGTGCATGTGAATGATCCAGTCATTGACTTAGCCGCCCGCCTGTATGCGCGGGCACACGTGGAACGGGGCGGGAGCCCCCCCCCCCCATCCGCCTGCGGTTAGCCTCTGGGCTCTGGCGCGGCCTTACGCATACGGCATGACGCCGCCGTCTCCAGGATTCGTTATTCCTGAACTCACCTCATTTGCGGCGGCGCCGTGTGAGGGAAGCAACTAAAGGTTTTTAACGCCAAAGGCTCCTCTTTGCATGCGATGGCGGTCATTAGAAATAAGCAACAACAAAGGAGGACTGTACACAAATGAATGATTTTGGGGGTAGCTTTCCTATCCTCTGTGAGTCAATCTCGTTTTTTTTTCCGGGCTTATTAACGATTGATATAAAATATGCTTATATATGTGTGCAGAGTCTTGGAAGACGCTTTGCAACATACCCGGGCATGGGTCCGTTCTTGGCCAGGTTGTACACTTGTCTCGGGTTAAGAAGATATTGGAATTTTCTGTAAATCCTGACGGAAGGAGAGAGAGAGAGAAAGACACGGTCAGAAAACGCCCGCGACCAAAAAAACCGAAACACCTGACTCATTCATCAGGCTCAGGGCTCAAAGCCCCCGCTCTTTGGCGTGTTAAAAAATGCAGATGCGTGTTTAATCACGGCGGCCGGCGGCTGGACCGGGCAGCGGGGCGGGACATACCCAAAGTCCCCTTAAGGAGCAAAACCATTAGAAAGACTAATTCATTTTAATTTCAATTTCATTATACCAACTCGCTGAAGTCATATTTTGATCTCATAATTTAAACAAATGAGGGGGCCGGCGTAATAAGAAGCGAATGAATATGTTTCAGTAATAACCCAATTAGCCCTGGGTTAGAGGAGGGGAGTCGGAGGGGGAAGGCGTGTGAGAGCCCACAGTGACGGTGGCGGCGAAATGGCGCCGTGCTCGTATTTGACTAAGTGCGCCCGGAGCACTTGTCAGGGCCGAGGCCACGCTGTTTTGCTTCCCTCGGTGGCTGAAGAGCGGGGCTTCAGAGGGCCCTCTTGTAGCATGTTGAGACAGGTTGTGTACTTACCTCTCCCCCTGCTTCCCCCCGCTCTTCGGATTGACAAACACCAGCAGAGGATGAGTGCCCTCTATTGTTGTGATCTGTACGGGAGATGTCAAAACAAAGCCTCGGTGTTTGGAGACTGCAGGATGCTTCACAGGAATTCACTTTCAAGCCATATCCCTCAGACATTTTACCAGGTATATGCAGCGCGCCTCTGCCCGCTTTTTCCTGTTAGCTGCCAAAGGCACGGGGCGCGTGCTCCACATTCCCTCTGAAAACTTTCATTTTTCCTTCATTTCTGATTAACTTAGTTGTGTTTTATACTTTTATAGCCCTTACAAAACTCTGGATATAATCCAGGATATAAATAACATGCCCGAGTCACTTCAAATCACTCCACTCTTTAAAAAACCTTGTCATCATTTTTTATCCAACTAACTTAACAGGTTAAATAATTCCTCGAAAAGGCATCATTTGGTATCATTTCATGTTGCAGATTTGTGCTTAAAACTCATATCAGAGAGAAGTTTTGCAAAAAAACTCGAGCCCATGGAAAATACAGTGTACTCTTTTTAGATATGGGAATAAAATGAGTAGTATTGAACATATTTAGCAGGCCGATCTTCAAAATTCGCCAAAAACTTGATACTTTTGGGATTGTTTGAGAAGTGGTAGCACTAATTGTGTCTATAGACCCCTGAACTCTTGTATAGATCAGAGAAATTCAACTAGTTTAGCATAGATTCGGTCGTTACGCTCAGCCTGATGATTCCCAGTTAAATGGTAATATTTATTAGTCACCGCTTTTTAACCGGATGGGGAATCTCCAGCTCTGAATTCTGAACCCCGAAAAGTCCCCAGAACCAGAAGCTGTGATGCGGCTTCCCGTGTTTGAATTGTCCATTTCTCCCAGTGCTCTCCCTGACACAGATGAAGCACTTAACTCCCCCCTGTCTGCTATCCCAGCAGGCCCAGGGTGAATTAATGAGCTCCCTGTCCAGTCCGGAGTGATCCATTACTTCCTGTAATTATAAATAATAATCTTGATTATTACGCTGGTTAGCCAGAGAGAGGCAGAGATGGATGGGCCGGGGACATGATTCATCAGATTTTTTCTCCCGGCCACGCGTGGACGGGCGGCCGCTACAGATGGCGGCCGGTTTCCGTCGGCAACATGCTGGCTGACAGATATTAGACGGGATCAGGCAGGACTGGCCTCTGCTGGCTGATCCAGACCAGCAGACCCCTTCCCCCCCTCCATCGCACATCCCTAAACTAACTGCACAGGGTTTATTTCACCCAGCAGTAAAGGGAAAACGTTTGAGCCACGGCCACTTCACCTGCAGGCCCCAAACAACGAGAAGCTGACCAGACCTCACCAAAAGGCCACAGATCCGGGAATTAGACGTTTCCAAAAAAATAATAAATAAATAAAACAGGAGGAAATACCAAAATATGACAAATTAAAGAGTACGAGGCATTCAAGCCATTTTCAGTGTCATATTAATTTGATTATTGACGTTTTTCTCAAATATCAATGACATATTTACCATCTATTTGTAACTATTGGGTTACTTCCATTTGAAATAGTTCCATTTAAACTGTAAGAAAGCTTTGAATTAGACATCAACTATGCTAGGTTGTGATGGGGGTCATATTTTAGAGCAACCTGCAGTCCCTGGCCGTCGACCGTGACCGAGTTGGCTCTTTGCATCTTTCCTCGGCTTGACTGGCTCGACCGGGAGTCTTTCCTCAGCGTCGACTGCCGTTCCTGAGGTCAAAGGTTAAAGAGAAAGAAGGGGATTTCAGATGCTTTGAGAAGAGTTGAGCTCACAGGAAAACACAAATGTAGACAGAAAAGAGGGGAAGGACAACATGTCCAAAGAGAGAAAACTGACATTGTTTACTCATCTTAGTTTATTGAACATGAAACTGTATCGACTGTGGCCCCCAGGGCATAATGCCCCATATTAATAACAATGAATGTAACATTAAACACGGTGAAAGTGTCAGATTCATATTCAAAATAATTTAAATACAGCTTTTTCTACTGGAAGGTGAATCAAGTGACAAAATCCTTTTTCAACAACCCAGCATCTGTGAATGATTTCCACTGGTTATATTTTATATGAAAGGCTTGAATGTTGTCTAGATGGGTGCTCTATTTTCATGCACAAGTAAGAGTCGTAGATTATTTTGTACAAAAAAAATCTACTGCAATCAAAAGATCGGAAAACCACTTACAGACAAAACTCTGTATATATATTTTTTGTAACTTTCCTTAATCTTTAAAAGTTGTCCTGAAAATTTGTTTCCCACGTTTCTTTTGTGGGACTCATTTAAGGGATGTCAATTTAAATAGTATTTTTAGGCACTTTGTATCATTCCTAAGGAAGGGAAACAGGGAGGAAAGGCTGAACTCTGCCAAAAAGACACAAGAAGTGGACCGAAATCCAGTGCCAGCAGCTCTGATGGAGGGATGAATCCTCCCCACAGCTCAACATTACTGAAGCAGTGTGGGATGATCTGACAGAGAACAGAGCAAAAGGCAACAACATCCAAATAAAAGCTATGGGACGTCCTTCAAGAAACCAGTAGAACTGCTCCTGAAGACTCCTTAAAGGAGGAGAATACTTTTCTCAGAGGGTTCGTTCAGGCTGTGTTAAAGAATTATGGAATTCATTTATTTACTTTTGAGATCAAAACTCCCCACTCTACACCCATATTTCCCATTTTCTTTGCAAAATATAAAAGGTAACAGTTCTGTGAGTACAAAGGCAAAAGCAGTGCGAGAGAAAAGAACAAAACTGTAGATTTTCTGCATAAAGTCCAGCTCCACTGTTAATTTTAATTTTTTGGGGGCATAACGTGTTTTTAAGCTGTGTATTTGACCACATCGGACAAACTAAGAAAACCTAATCTTTCTTTTTTTTTTTTAAGGAAACACATTGTGTGAGCACCCGTTTCCCCCTGAAACTACCTCGGGCACTTTTGGAAACTAAACCTCCCAAAAAAAAAAAAATTAATTGTTGCCATTTCAGAGCACAGTGGGAGAACACAGGCTGATGATTGGATCCTCGTGCCACACGGCATCAAACCAGGTTGGCTTCGCTCAGCCCCGCAAATGCTGACCAGCGAAAAGTGAAGTCTTACCAGGACGACGGGGCAGATTGAGTTGGGGGGCAGGATGTGATCCTTCAGGGGTCCACAATCACACTCGGGTTTCACATGGGAGGCACACTTGTTATGGAGCTGGAAGAGGTGGCAAGAATTATTAAAAAGCCAACTTTTAGCAATAGCCTCGTGCATCTGCTTATTCGGCTCAAGATGCATCTCTAAAATCTGTTTTCATTGCTTTGTGCGTTGCCTCTGTCTAATTTTCTATTATCTTGCAGCTGCAAACAACTGTTTTCTGAGTGTAAATTGGTGTGATGACTTCTGAGTTATCTGAGGTGCAAAAAAGAAAGCCTAAACAACAAAAAGCAGTGGGACTATAATGAGGAGGTGGCTGCCTCTCCTCGGGTGGCGGCCTACCGTGATTTGACACCACACACAATGGAGCCCAGTCAAGCCCTGGTAGCATTTAATGGTTTTGTGACACTTGTCACACTTGGTGGGGCAGTTCCCTTCAACCCAGAAATGATGCATTACCTGCAGAGAGACGGAGAAGGCAGCACACTGAGAGGGAAAGCAGCGAGAAAAAGGAAACACGGTGCAGAAAAACAAGATGTATACAAAGGCGCAAGTGACACAACAATTAAAGAAAGAGGACGGGGAAGGAAAGAAGAAAAAAAATAAAGCGAGAGGAAACGAGAAATAAAGCGAACAAGAGCGAAAGAAAAACCGAACTGATGATGCTGTGAGTGCTGCTTATTTCTAAACCGGACTCATTCTGGTAATTAGAAATGCTCAGTAGCAGATTGAGTTATTTTATTTCCATAGGAGGAGCAGACGCTCTTGTCCACAGCTCCACGGAGCATCTCTGATCCAGGCGTGCCGACAGGTAAACACTCCAATTGGACTCACCTCTGTGTTTTTCTTGGACTTTACGTAGGTTTTTATGCAAGAGTGCGGAGCGCGAGCCACGCAGCGCTCGTGGACTGTGTACTTGCAGACTGGGGAAGAAATAAAGACGCAAACTTTGACTACAGAAAGCAAAAAAACAACAAAAAAAACAGACATAACAGGCTTTTTAGGGTTTGAGGAATTTGCTGTTGTGCAAACTTAGTAGAAAAATGCCTTTTGAATAAAAACAAACGCTAATTGGAGCCGCGGCACAAGTAAGTTTAATTCTTTTTAGGCCAGTAATGGCCGTGTGTTTCTCTAAAAGAAACATAATATGACCAGTATGTACCACTGACTCTGTCTTCATGCAGAAATGTCAATGGGAAAGGCTTAGACTTAGACTTAGACAGTAAGGGAAGACTCCCTCAGGAAATTAAGGTTACCAGCAGCTTAAAGGGCAAAAAGTATTAAGTTAGAATTCACTCACATGAGCAGCAGAGGCCCTGCTTCCCCAGGCCGATCAGCATGTTGAGACACAGGTTACAGTAGGCCGGCTTGTTGAAGTGCTTCAGCCTCCACACGTGCTGCCCGTCATCTTTTACATTCTGCAGGAGAAAGACACGACTCCCTGAGTGACCGGCGTGTCCCTTCACACTCAGGAGGGAGATTAGACATTTAGCTGCGCAGCTGAGTTGTTATTTTACTATTTTGCTGTCGGAGTTTAGTGGGAACTGCTGGAAGAATCGGCCTTTCCTTTAGTGGTGGCGTTCATTCATAAAAAAAAATGAAATCTGGTTGGGTGTTTGATCAAAGCCAGTCTACTGCTTCCACCTGGTGGAAACAACATAAACTGACAGCAATGACAGCAATGCAATCAAAAAGTTGTAAAAAAGTGGATGACTAAATAGCCACAATCAGCAACAAATAGAGAAAAAATATGGTTCAATATATAAACATGTTGTTGATAATGTAAGTACATTATGAAATCATCGATTATTAATATAACAAATAAGTTCTCATTTTAACTGCATTCCTCATCTCTTTATTATTTTTTTATTAACTTTAAATGTTGGTTTCTCCACAATTTTTCTTCATCTTTTTCATGTTTTATACTGTATTCTTTGGTTAACTTACTTAAATATAATTTTTTCCACAATAATTTTACAGTCAATTGAATCTCTTCCTGAAGTCTGCTCTCTACTGATCATACCCAAATGTTTCATCCATTCCTTTTTCATTTTAAGGGTTTCTCTTTTCTTTTACATTTCTGCATCTAGCACACCCTCTTCAAAAATGAGGACATTTTATTAATGCAGGAATGGGTAAAAAAACTATCCTTTCCAGTAATTGATTGGACACTCTGACTCACAGTAATTTGATTCAATTAAAGCAGATGTAAATGCACACAGGTGCACACCAGAAGGGATTTAGGAGTGATATAAAATAAAGTTTAAAACAATGGATCGAGCTGAATTTCTCTTTCAGGACGTGAGAGAAGATTCTATCTGGTTTAGAAGTTTTTTATCGAGTCTCACCGTAAAACATGAAATAAGACTGACTGAAATCTGAACTGAACAATAAAGATATCTAAAGAATGCAAATCCTGGGTTCATCTTCAGATTGGAACAGAATGACAAACCCAGCTCTCATCACACAAACAGAACAGAGTCTTTTTTATGTAACACCTCTCATTTAGTTTTAATGCATCCAGCTATCCATCACAGAACTCTCACTTCTTCTCATCCAGTCAAATGGGGCTGCTATTCAAAAACACAAACTACTGCAAGGAAAACTATTAAAAAATCCTCAGTGAAAATCCCCAATAATGGCATTCATAAATGGAAATGTAATGAAAAAATAATCAGTACAAAATAAAAATGTCGGTGTTTTCTGACTCATTTTTTTTTTGTTGAGATCACTATTTTAGCAGGAAACAAAACACAAGGTTGAAGCCCTCATCATGTATGTTCTGTTGTTTTCAGTCCCTCAGAAAAAGCTGTTTGGTGTGGGCAGAAGTGCCACCATCAGAGGACAAAGCCTCGGCTCTGATAGCTGTGACATTTACCCAGATGATGTAAACTACACGTGTGTGTCCGGGCAAAACTGGCTCTGTCTCCATTCATCTGCAGCCTCCAAAAGTACGTCAAACGCTATTTCTTACATCTACCTTTCAATTAAAAGAACAAGGAAGACTATGGTTCATTAGTTAATCAATTATGTTACTCTTTCTTGGTTTATTTATTTGCAAAAGTTACCAAAACAAACAAAAAACAATTGAAATATGTTCAAATATATCAGGATTGTATCAGGAGTAGTACGATTTGTCTTCCAGTGTCATTGTGATGGCAATTCTATTTGCATTTATGACTAAACACCTTTAAAATATTTATGTAGAGCTACAGGTTATCCGTTGGCACAGTCTTGAGTTGTTGAGTGGAGAGTTTCTCATTCGGTTCCAGATCAAGCATCGCGATTTAGATGGAAATATAATTAACTGGGTGGAAAGTGTTCTGTGTGAGACACAGTAATAATGAAAATATACATATGCTGATTTAAATCTAAGTCATTGACATATAAATATATGTATTTATTTCATCAATTTCATTAAACTATTTATATAATAATGATACAAAATATAAATCTATTCTATATGCACATTATGGATATGCATACATATGTACATAACTTATAAAGGGTCTGAGGGGCTGGGAGGGGTTCAAAGACCCCTGAAAGCACCTGTGTAAGGATCAAGCATCGAAAAGGACACATCTTTCAGAGTTTGCAGCTCTGTTGGGCTTTTTTTTTCTTTTTTCAACGTTAAATGTTGAGAATCGGACGCCAGAATTTGAAAAAAAGAGAGAGTGAGGGCGAAAAAAAATGAGACAGAACTACAAAACAGACAAAAGCAGCTGCCGGTTCTGCGAGAGGAGCCCACCCCGAATGTGACAAACGCATCCCTAAAGTGTCTGCGGAGGAGGCGGAAAAGTGCGTCTAATTAGGTCGGAATAAAAAGCATACGGCAGCTAATTAGGTTAACCGGCAACAGGTCGGGGAAACGGGACTGTTTATGAAGTGAGGAGCGCCTGAGAGATGGCAGCGCTCCCTCTGATGTAAGAGCAACATCAGCAAGAAGCAAAACCAAATATGAAGCCAAAGGCAAATCAAAACGGACTCAAACTGAGCTGAAAACTGGTCATTATACAACAAGTACGAGAGGAGAGACCACCCACTTCACTCCATCTATCTATCTATCTATCTATCTATCTATCTATCTATCTATCTATC